AGACCAGTCCAGGTGTCCCTGTGATGGACTGGAGACCAGTCCAGGTGCCCCTGTGATGGACTGGAGACCTGTGCAGGTGTCCCTGTGATGGACTGGAGACCTGTCCAGGTGCCCCTGTGATAGACTGGAGACTTGTCCAGGTGCCCCTGTGATGGACTGGAGACCTGTCCATGTGCCCCTGTGATGGACTGGAGACCAGTCCATGTGCCCCTGTGATGGACTGGAGACCAGTCCAGGTGTCCCTGTGATGGACTGGAGACTTGTCCAGGTGTCCCTATGATGGACTGGAGACTTGTCCAGGTGCCCCTGTGATGGACTGGAGACCAATCCAGGTGTCCCTGTGATGGACTGGAGACCTGTCCAGGTGCCCCTGTGATGGACTGGAGACCTGTCCATGTGTCCCTGTGATGGACTTGAGACCTGTCCAGGTGTCCCTGTGATGGACTGGAGACCAGTCCAGGTGTCCCTGTGATGGACTGGAGACCTGTCCAGGACATCTCACACAGTGACTGCTATCGTCATCTATAAATTCCTTGTTTTTTTAAAAGCACACTTAAGGGGCTGGAATGCAGAAACTGCTGCTGGCTGAAGTTTTTGACAGGACATTTATTTTTCTGTCACGGACGGGAATTTTATTTTATTTTTTTAAAGGAACGACACAGAGGGCGTTGCAGAGTCATTCACCTCTCAGCTAGTCTCAAAGTCACTGACAGTTTCCCTTTACGTGTCATTCACTGGCTCTGTTGGAGTCGCACAACAACAGAGAGGAAAAAAGTATGCAAAAAAAGTGACTGAAAGACACGGAAGGGAGTAAAGGAAGTTACCGTAGGTCGATGGCTCTCAAGTGGCTCAGTTGGCCCAGCGTGGACAAGTCCAAACTCTCCACCTGGTTCCCAGCCATGGACAGCTTGTCCACTGCACTCAGTGTCTCCAGCACAGCGGGGATGTGAGAGAAGTTGTTAAAGGAGAGCCCCAGGCTGTTGAGCTGAAACAGGCCACCCAGCTCCGCAGGCAGCGACTTCAGCTGGTTTCCATCCAAAGACAGCGTCTGAAGACTGGAAAGAAGAAAACACCACGTTCTGTTTGCTTCTACTTCAACAAGTTGTCCGAATATTGGCTTAACTCGTGTAACATTTTGTGACAAAACATTTTCCCTCTGTGGACACTTCACCGTTTTTAATATAAGTTGAAAATAAAAAATCGGAATATAACCTGCTTAAACATATAATAAATAGGCCTGTTGCGATAAACAATAATTCAATTAATCGCACAATAAATGAAAATTATCGACCTCATTTTCATTTATCGGTTTTGGGGGCCGAGATTGTGTAGAAGCAGGGCAGCCGGCTTGGGACCCGAAAGTCCCAGGTTCGATCCCCAGTCACTGCACATCACGTGGCGTCTCTGGGCAGCACGTCTCATCCCCAAAATGTCCCCCGGGCACTTTCAATAGCTGCCCACTGCACCACCTGGTGGTGGATGGGTTAAATGCAGAGACTAATTTCGCCATTGTATGGAAACATACAGTGCTGACATTGTGATGACATTATTATTATTATTATTATCGTTTCTTCGTGTCTCTCTTTCTACTGAAGACACTGGATGACAAAAGGCTCAACTCCGGTGTTCTTCACTGACCCCTCCCTTTCTGTTTTCTCTTTAAAATCTGCTTTTAACGATCCAAAATCGCGTTTTTGGATCGTTAAAAGCAGCTAAGCTGAGAAGCTAAGCTACGAGTTAAGCTAACATGACGACCTCGAGGATAAAACCTCCGTCTTGTCGAAGCTCCAAAATTCACGGTTGAAACCCGTGCCTTCGTGTAAAAGTTGTTTTTCTCTGAAAAAAAGAAGCTGAGAACTTATTTACTGATTGTTTTAATTAAAAGCTTTGTGTGAAAAATGCTAAAGAGCTCAAATCACACCGAGCGTCCGCCATTTTGAAAACCAAAAAACAGGAAGGAGAGACGGCCCATGTCACGTCAAGGGGCCTCTCTCCCATTTTTCTTAAAGAGACATGCTGCTCACTCCCTCACTATCTATCCTTCGGTTCAAACTGTCTTATACTGCCATCCAGTGGTCAAACAAAGGTACTACACTCAAAACAAATTAACCAACATTTCTTCTTAAATTTGACAATAATTAGTAATTATTGTCAAATTTCAAACAATATTATCGTTTATCGCAATAATTTCTGAGACAATTAATTGCCCAGTAAAATTTGTTATCGTGACAGGCCTAATAATAAATGCACTTGTGTGTGATGTGTGCGCGTGTCACACCTCTGAAGGTTGCCGATCTGCACCGGGACGTTGTGGAGATTGTTACAGGACAGGTTCAGTTCAGTTAGTGTGAGGATCTCGCACACACACTCGGGGAGCACACCGAGACGGTTGTGAGAAATGTTCAGGCTTTTCAGCTGGGAAAACCTAAAGACAGAAGAAAAACCTTGTGGGTCCTTGAAAGCATCTGTGTTCTTTATTTAAATTTCGTTTAATATTTCTACGCTGTAACGAGATATTGACTGATTTGTTGGCAAATCGTTCAGGGATGCAGTAAATTCCACTAAAAATAGCAGAATTTGATTAATTTTTCTATTTTATGCACTTATTTACCATATTTTTCAGACTATAATGCGCACTTAAAATCCTTTAATTTTCTCAAAAATCAACAGTGAGCCTTATAATCAGGTGCGCCTTATGCATTAACTCTGGTTGTGCTTACTGACCTCAAACCGATTTTATGTGGTCATTGTGAAAGAGTTGAATAAAATTTGACTTATCTGACTGTTTTGTTTCACTTAATGTGCCTTATGTATGAAAACAGACCCATTCATTGATATTGTACCTTATAATAAAAAAAATATATGGTACAAAGTATACGACAATGAACAAACAAGCACAAAGTCCTACTTAAGGCTGACAACAGAAGCTACAGACACGAGGATGATTAATTGCAGTCCTCTTAATGAGATATTCAGCTTGTGTAAAGAACCACCAGTGCAGAAAAGGACAGAAACTAAACTCTTGTCCTGCATAATGAACAAGGCTCTACTAAAACAAAGGCAGTTGCTGCTTTTTTCCAAAACCTTATAACTTCTTGGGTGAACTCATGACATCATAAGCAGTATCCTAAAATCATGTTTTTAAATGTTTACGCATAAAATAAAATAAAATTGCAATTACCACTCAGTCTCGTAAGGACAAGATCCTGTGTACCCCACCTGACATCCCGTAATATCCCGTATCTTGAAAATGTGTAAAATTCTGTGGGATCACCTCGGAAGGTGTAGCAGGCTTCCAGGTCCCTGCAGGCTCATGAAGTTGTGTCGTAGATTGAGGTGAGTGATGTCCTGACAGTAAAACAGATACTCTGGCACCGTTTCCAGGCTGTAGCAGGACAGGTCCACCAGACTTACTGTCTGAGACACCACCTACAATACGTGCACGCACACACGCACACACACAAATATACAAGCACTTAATTATATTTTTTTTAAAAAAGAAATAATTTTGAAAACCTTGTTAGTTTAGTCAATATCATATCAGAAACCTGACTGTCTGGTCGTCACAGCATCAACATCAACCAGTTGCTGTAATTAAAAAACAGCAAATTGCAATCCTCATCAAACACAGCTAGAGGCAGACGGGATAATATTACAGTAGTCCCTCGTTTATCGCGAGGGATCCGTACCCTGAAGACCCGCGATAAGTGAAAAACAGTGAAGTAGGAATATTAGTACAAGTAGTAAGGAGTACTTTATTTTATTATATATATGTGTGTGTGTGTTTTAAACACTTCCCACGCTCTTGCAATATTCTAAAAAAAAAGTTTCTAAACGCTCTAAAAAAGCACAGAATGTCATGATTTCAGCTCCCTGCCTCCGCTGCTCTTTGCCACCTGCAAGTGCTCTTGGCCACGCCCACTTCTCCGCTCTGCACGGTGAACAGCTGATCAGCTGCAGCAGGAAGTTTATCCTGCAGTGTGGGCTGCACAAATGTGCAGCAGTTGCTAAATAATTTAAAATACTTTATCCATCCATCCATCCATTATCTTTACCCGTTTATTCCATTTTGGGTCACGGGGGTCGCTGGTGCCCATGTCCAGCAGTCACTGTGCGAGGGGCGGGGTACACCCTGGACGGGTCGCAAGTCCATCACAGGGCCACATAGAGACAAACGAGACAAACAATCATTCACTCTCTCACTCACACCTAGGGACAATTTAGAGTTACCAATCAGCCTAACATGCATGTTTTTGGTCTGTGGGAGGAAACCGGAGTACCCGGAGAAAACCCACGCATGCACGGAGAGAACATGCAAACTCCACCCAGAAAGGCCCCTGGACCGGGGTTTGAACCAAGGACCTGCTCGCTGAGAGGCAGCAGCTCTACCAGTTGCGCCACCGTGCTGCCCTAAAATACTTTATTTTAAATTAAAATTTCATGCCGATCGTGCGGCTCATCCATCAATCAGCCAATCTTATTTTGAAAAACGGCAATAGTGCGAGTCTGCGATAAACAAACCGTAAAGTAGCGAGGGACTATTGTACACATTAATTTACTGTTCTTTGACGCCTGTTTCTTGAAGCACAAGTGCATCATATTTATAAAAACTAATAGAGGTGATGTTTAAGTAACTGGACTCCTTGTGAAAAAAGGGCCAATGACCTCATTTCCAACCAGTCAGGGCAGCAAAGTGACATCGAGCTGAGTCCCACAACAGAATAGTTATTGAATGAAGTTTGCCTCATAAATGATTTGACTTGGCCCTAGTTGTGTTTGAACAGGACGGAGGCCAAACGCATTCTGTCCGAGCAAAATGAAACATGAGAGCTCACATTTGATCTGTTTCCCAAGCTGGGAGGAATGTGTCCCTAAAGAGGACTGCATGATAAATGAGGTCATAAAGTTAGGGGTAACCTGTGAACGTAACTTGTACTTGAAGAAATATACAGGCAGAAGATAAAGGATTTATGTGTTCGTGTCTAAAAATAGGACGCATTGCAGAAGTAGAATGCAATTACATTTTAAAATAGCTTTTATTATTTCATAAAAACATAAAGTTGCAAATTATCTATTTGCATTTGCGATTGTTTTTTGAAACTTAAAAACAACTTAAGTTTTGGGAAATTTTACTTTTAATCACCACACGTTAAAAACGGTGCTTCAGTGGTTTGTACATAAAAAATAAAGAACAATTAAATATGAACAATGTACTAAACAAGTTTTCAGTATTTAATTATGTGTAAAAATTAAAGACTGTAATCTAGCTAGCTAGCTTTTTTTTTTTTTACTGTTAATTAGTCAGTAAAAAATAAAATAAAATGTGGGAGTGAGCAGTAAAGGTCCATAAAGTCAGAAATAAAACCAGACTCTTGTCATCTACACACCCGTGTTTTATTTACAAACCAATCTGTTTGCAGGTGAATCTCAGATTGTGCTTTATTTGCATTTTACTTTCAGTTTCAAGCTTCATTCTGCACGCTCATTTTGCAGGAATGCACTCGCTGACTCCGTCACACAGGCTTACGATTAATGCGGTGTAGCATAAACACTGGCCCAAAAACCCTCATCAGTTATGATCCGCTGGCTCCATAGAAACCGTCATGTCTCCGCCTGAGCACAGCACGCTAACAGGCTACTCTAACCCAGTAATCCATAGCATCGAGGCTGGGAGAGAGCGAGATCCTGGACTGACCACAAACCTGCAAATAATTGGATATTATGTTTAAATGAGCGTTCTCCCTGCTTTGCTAACTGTGTGCGGGCTCTGCCTCAGTTGTGGCTTATGGTGATGTCATGTCACACAAACCAAACTAATTACAACAGAATGCTTTTAGGATTGTCTGCAAAGAATTGGCAGGATTCTCTGAAAGGCAATATTGATGCAAAAATAGCTGCTAATCCACACAGTGACTTATATAAGAAAACTCATTTTTGCTGTGCAAGATCATTGTAAAAAACAAAAAAAGATCAGATGTGTCCACTGAAGAAAATCAAGGACAGCCTAACAGAAATGTAGTGCAGATGAAATGTCCATCACTGCCTCTGTAGAGCCAATCAGATGATCAGACTGGCAGTGGAAGGCCGAAGGAGCCAACAGCCAAAGCACAAGCTCCAGCATCCAGTCTCTGTTGAACCCCAGCAGGATCGACCGCAAACAAACAGGCTGCTGCAGGAAGAAGACAACAGCACACGAACTGCACACGCGTGTTGTTTCCTGCTTACTTTGGAGGCCTGCCGATGCCACCTCTGGTAGTCTGCGAGCGTGTCGAAGTTGACGAAGTACGTCTGAGCCTGTGAGCCGGCGGAGCTGAACACCAAACAGTGCTGCCGTCGCTTCACCTCCTCAACCTCAATTCAGAAAAAACAGATCCATAAAAGTTAAACACTTAGAAGGAGAAAAATTATTTATACTAGGGATGCACGATATTATTGGCATGGTATCGTATCGGCTGATATTAGCGTTAAAGTTAAATATCGGACATTCCATCAAAATAACTCACCGATATAAAATACTGTTTTTGTATAACAACCCAGTGACGAGGATACCTGCAGCGCCAGCACAACGTGATGACGTCATGCGCGCCTACCTGATCTGATCACGGCGGAGAGGAAAATGTCAAAATGTCGCCGGTGTGGAAGTTTTTATTTTTATTGAGGATGTCGGATTCTGAATATTTTTAGACTCTGGACTACGTTGAGCCTCGCTACATCGTCCCCAGTCGGAGATATTTTCCGACGTAGCCTTACCCGAGTTACAAGCCGTCATTTCCGACGTCATTGAGAAGCTAATAGCCGATAGCACTTGGGTGAGTTTTATAACAGACATTTGGACGTCGTGTTAGCCCGTTAGCATGATTAGTCTTACGGCACAATGGATAAAAAAAAGCTTTGATCTTAAAAAGGCTGTCCTTCATGCACAGGAGAGCAGAGGATCCCAAACTGCAGCTATAGGAACCTGGAACAAGCCTCCACAATGAGACTGCATTGCATATGACTAATGCTAATAAATGACATTTAACACTTTTCATTTAATATAAATTAAAGTGCTATGGCTGTTAATGAATATATGTCACCAGCTGTTACAGCTGTTACAAATTTTTTGTAGCAAATAAGCCTAAATAAGAGGGTTATGTTCTGACAAAGGAAAGTATATAAAAAATATCGGTATCGGTTATCGACCAAATAAGTTTTAACATATCGGCATATCGGAGATCGGCCAAGAATCCAATATCGTGCGTCCCTAATTTATACCAGTATTCATTTCATGACGCAGTTTATTTTCTGTACCAACTGTTAACTAAGTCTTGTTTCTTCTTAAACTGCACATTATGCCAGAACTTGGTTTTTTTTTTTTTTTTTGCTTGTCAGTTAGTTTTATTTGAAATCTTTGTCTTTCTATGTTTAATTTGCTATTATTTTCTAAAAAAATAAAATGTTAATACTTAACACATTTGTCAGTATTTCTCTCCAGCTTTGGATGCGTTTAATCTTTGCGTTGGTCGGCCACACTGACTGCCTCTCTCAGCTTGGATTTAAACTTGGACTTTTGGACTGTAACCTGTCCAGCCTTCATTTAAGCACATCTTCATCACACCCTGAAATATTTCATTTTCAAACTTTTAGCATTTAGACACTAAACCAACTTGTGTGAGTCGGTCAAGGATGTTTATTATTTTAAAAAACAATTCAACAAAACTCCAGATATACCGTTGTGTTGGATTATTCTGAAATCTTTTTATGTTAAGTTCTGGACAAAGATAAGTACTTTGGTAAAATAAAATAAAAAGCTCAGCAAGTGAATTGTTAAATCATTTGTCGTCATCTATTGAGTCAAATTTGATCAGCTCAAGGAATGACCAGTAGTGGAGAAATATGACAAATCAACCTGCCACCAAAACCAGTGGTGTAAACAGCAAAACCATCATTTACACCAAAAACCTTTCAGTGTTGTTGTTGGTAGTGATGGTGGTGGTGTGTGTGCTTTTGTTTCAGGTTACCTTGTAGGGACCAATTTTACAAAAAAAAAAATCATGCATTGTGGAAATCAACTGCTCCTTATGGGGACCAAAGCCAGTCTCGTTGGGGGGTTAGGTTTAGGACTAAGGTGTGAATTGCAGGTAGGTTAGGGTTAGGCATGTACTAGTAATGTTTAGGTTTAGGGTAAGGGTCAGGGTTAGGCTATAGAAAATGAGTGGAAGTTGATGTAAAGTCCCCAAAAAGTACGTTTACAAGAACGTGCGTGTGCATCTGTCTATCTATCTTTATATAGTTAAATGTTTATTTTGAAGGATCTGCACTGTGCAAATGTCTTGATTCACCCCATACCTTTTAATAATTTGTCTCTAAGCAGACAGACTTTCTTGTAATCTTTCAAATAAGTCTTGATTAATAGTTCTCTAGACTTTTTGAAGGTTTTCCACTGATTTCTATTTTATACAAGATCATTGTCGAAGGAAAGCTGGAAGGACACAAAGCCTGGAGGACGCAGCTGTTTACGCTTCTTTTAAGGAAAGTCTCTATTTGGAAGAAACGTATCAAGATGTTAATAATGTTTCATAGTGTTGTGGAAAGGTTTTACATGCTAACTCAGTATCTGCACTGTCTAGACAAACAAACATCTGGTTGGAGTGTCCATGTTTTCACTTGATCCAGCTCAGTCTGGACTGAAGACTTCACTTTGGGAAAAACAAAAGCACAAAGAGAATATCCAACCTAAATAAACCCCTCACCTTTCCTCCCACCAGGGGCAGGATGTGCATCTTCCCAGCCAGACTGTCTTTGACCGAGGCCACTATCAAACAGGTGCCACAGAGAATAACCTGCCGCTCGGCCCACTTGTGCAGCTGCGTCTTGCCTTTCCTGACGCTGAACACGCCCTTTAACAAGGTCCGCTCCTGCTGGTCTGGGTTCACCGGCCGCTCTGGAAAAGAAAGACCCACACACAGATGTTAATGTTGATCTACAGGCCCAAGAACACTTTAACTCGGCTTTGATAAACACAGCTAATTAACAGCAAATGTTCAACTTCTACAGAGGTTAGACCGAGTTTTTAGAAGATCGAGTCAAACATTAACTCATGAATTAGTCTGAAGTTTCCTGTTTGTAAGAACTGGTGCTCCACTGGTGCTCTGTTATCTCAAATATCACACAAATAAATAAGATTTCAATAAAAGTTTGAACAAAGTTTAAACTTCATTGTTTAAAATCGAAGGAAAGCAAGTTTCTGTGACTTTACTATAAAGTGAGGGATGAAAATTGACGAGTGTTTGTTACACTTAACATCAATCTGCTCAAATGAATCATGCCAACATGCACAGCAGGTGGCCACAGCTGGCAACTACTGCAGGAAATATCTGACAGCAGAGTTTCTGTCACTGCCAGGTTTCAAGTACGCTCAGGTAGATAACAAGCCAAATAAGCTCAGAGGAGAAATATTACTGGTAAACACCTCCAACTCCTGACCTCCGGTGAAATATTCCTTCAAACCAGGTTATGCTTCCTCCCTCTCAAATGCCTTTACAATCTGCTTACTCTGCCTCTTTTTTCTCCAACTCATTGTTTCTCCTCGCCTCCCCTTTCACTTCGCAAGGGCGTCCAAGGCAAAATAAGCCTCCACAAATTCCTCTTCACCACAGAAACTGAAGAATAACAAGTGTTTCTGAAAGCAACCATGCCGGCTGATGGACTGATTACAGTTCCTAATCTTTGATTCTATAAAGGCGTAAAAATGTTTGATTTTAGATTATTATTTTTATTGGGTGATTTCTAAAATCAGCTACATTTTTTTTTGTGTAAAAAACATATTTTTCAAAGTGTGCATTGCTACTGTAGCTTATGCTACCTTCAAGGTTTTTCAATTTCAATTCAATTAAGTTCATTTCAGTTGATTTATATATCACCAAGTCACAACAGAAATTATCTCACTGAACAAAAACATTCACATACATAAAATGTCAATTACTAAAGTTATGTCTCTAAGGAAGGAAGCCAGGTTTATCCTCCTTGAATGGCTACCTTATCGTGGTGGAGGAGTTCGTACTCCTGAATGATCCTAGGAGCTATGCTATCAGGGGCTATTATAGTTGCTCCTGGTAGGGTCTCCCAAGGTAGATTGGTTTTAGGTGACAGGCCAGACAAAGAGCGATTCAGAAGAGTTTTATGGACAAACAAAAACAAGGAACTCAATGTCCTTTGCCTGGACGTGGGTTACCAGGGTCCCACCCTGGAGCCAAGGGCCTGGGGGAGGGGCTCGTTGGCGGGCACCTGGTGACCAGGTCTCTACCCATGGGGTCCTGTCGGGCCCAGCCTGAAGAAGGAACAGGGTTTGCCTTCCTGTGAGCCCACCACCTGCAGGGGCCACAAAAGTCAGGCGCATGATGCCATGGGCGGTGGCCGAAGGTGGGGACCTTGGTGCTCTGACCCTGGCTTACCAAAGCTGGCTCTTGGAACATTGAAGGTAAACTCTCTGGTGGGGAAGGAGCCTGAGCTTGTGCGTGAGGTGGAGAGGTATCGACTAGATATAGTTGGGCTCACCTTGATGCACAGCATGGACTCTAGAACCAATTTGCTCAAGAGGGGCTGGACTTTATTCCACTCTGGAGTTGTCCATGGTGAGAGGCGCCGAGCTGGTGTGGGTCTACTTTTGGCCCCCTGATTTGGTACCTGTGTGTTGGAGTTTTCCCTTGTAGATGAGAGGGTAGCTTCCCTGTACTTTTGGGTAGGGGGACGGGCTTTGACTATTGTTTATGCCTATGCGACAAATGGCAGTTCAGAGTATCCAGCCTTCTTGGAGTCCTTGACAAGTGTGCTCGAAGGTGCATCAGCTGGGGACTCCTTTATTCTGCTGGGGAACTTCAACGCACATGTGAGTAACAACAGTGTGACCTAGAGGTATGTGATTGCAAGAACGGCCTCTCCGATCTGAACTCGAGAGGTGTTCTGTTGTTGGACTTCTGTGCTAGTCATAGTTTGTCCATTAATAACACCATGTTAAAACATAAGGGTGTTCATAAGTGCACTTGGCACCAGGACACATTAGATTGTAGATTGATGATTGACTTTGTAGTTGTGTCATCTGAATTGCGGCCATTCGTTTTAGACATTCGGGTGAAGAGAGAAGCTGAGCTGTCAACTGATCATCACCTGGTAGCGAGTTGGGTCAGATGGAGGGGGAAGATACCGGACAGACCCAGTAGACCCAAATGTGTAGTGAGTTTGCTGGGAACGCCTAGCAGAAGAACCCGTCAGAAAGATCTTCAACTCACACCTACGGGAGAGCTTTAACTGTATCCCAGCTAAGGTGGGGGATATTGAGTCTGAGTGGGCCATGTTCCAAACCTCATTTGTTGAAGTAGCTACCTTGAGCTGTGGCCGCAAAGTTGTTGGTGCTTCTCATGGTGGCCATCCTTGAACTGAGTGGTGGACACCCCGAGTTATGGAGGCTGTCAAGTTGAAGAAGGAGTCTTATCAGGCCTTGTTGGCTGGTGGGACTCCAGAGGCAGCTGATGAGTACTGGAGGTCCAAACAGTCCACAGCCTTGGCTGTTGCTGAGGCAAAAGCTCAAGTGTGGAAAGAGTTTGGGGAGGCCTTTCATAAAGACTCTCATTCGGCTCCGAGGAGATTCTGGCAAACCATCAGGTGGTTGAGGTGGAGAAAGCAGCACTTTACTAACACTGTGTTCAGTGAAGGTGGGGTGCTGTTGACCTCAATCAGTGATGTCGTTGAGAGGTGGAAAGAATACTTCTCGGACCTTCTCAATCCCACCGGCACGTCTTCCATGGAGGAAACTGAATTGGGGGACTTCGGGGTTGGTCTGTCCATAATCATGGCTGAGGTCAGTTAAAAAGCTCTGAGGCGGCAGGGCTCTGAGTGTGGATGAAATTCACCCTGATTTCCTTATGGCTCTGGATGTTGTGGGGCTGTCTTGGTTGACATGCCTTTGTAACATCGCGTGGACATCGGGGGCAGTGCCACTGTATTGGCAGACTGGGGTGGTGCTCCCCTCTTTAAAAAGGGGGACCGGAGGGTGTGCTCCAATTATAGGGGCATAACTGTCCTTAGCCTCCCTGGTAAGGTCTATTCAAGGGTACTGGAGAAGTGAGTCTGATCGTTGGTCGAACCTCAGATCCAGGAAGAACAAGGTTCTGGCCTGGCCGTGGAACACTGAATCAACTCTTTACACTCAATAGGATCCTTGAAGGGTCATGGGAGTTTTCCCATCCAGTCTACATGTGTTTTGTGGACTTGGAGAAGGCTTTCAACCGTGTTCCTCGAGGTACACTGTGGGGGGTGCTCTATGAGTATGGGATTGGGGGCCCGTTGCTATGGACTGTTTGGCCTCTATATAAGTGGTGCGAGAGTTTGGTTTGCATTGCCGGTAGTAAGTCGGACCCCTTCAGGGTGGGAGTTGGGCTCCACCAGGGCTGCCCATTGTCACTGATTCTGTTCATAACTTTTATGGACAGAATGTCTCGGTGCAGCCAGGGGGCGGAGGGCTTGCTGTTCGGTGGCCTCAGGATTCCATCTCTGCTCTTTGCAGATGATGTGGTCCTGTTGGTGTCATAGTGCCATGATCTTCAGCTCTCACTGGAGCAGTTCACAGCCGAGTGTGAAGCAGCTGGGATGAGAATGAGCACCTCCAAATCTAAGGCCATAGTCCTCAGTCAGAAAAGGGTGGATTGTTCTCTTCAGGTTGAGAGTGAGGTTCTGGCTCAAGTGGAGGAGTTCAAGTATCTCAGGGTTTTGTTCATGAGTGAGGGAAAAATGGAGCGTGAGATTGACAGATGGATTGGTGCAGCATCTGCATTATTGCGGACTCTGTGCTGGTCCGTTGTGATGAAGAAGGAGCTTAGCTGTATGGCAAAGCTCTCCGTTTACCGGTCGGTCTAAGTTCCTACCTTCACCTATGGTCATGAGCTGTGGGTAGTGACCAAAAGAATGAGACTGTGGATACAGGCGGTTGAAATTAGTTTCCTCCACAAGGTAGCTGGACTTTCCCTTAGAAAAATGTTGAGAATTTCCCTTATCTGGGAGAGACTCAGAGTGGAACCACTGCTCCTCCACATTGAGAGGAGCCAGTTGAGGTGGTTCGGGCATCTGGTAAGAACTTCCTGGGCGCCTCCCTATGGAGGTGGTTCGGGCATCTGGTAAGGACTTCCTGGGCGCCTCCCTATGGAGGTGCTTCGGGCATGTTCGACTGGGAGGAGACCTCAGGAAGACCCAGGACATTCTGGAGAGACTATGTCTCTTGGTTGGCTTGGGAACACCTTTGAATCCTCCCAGAAGAGCTGGAAGAAGTGGCTGTAGAAAGAGATGGCTGGACCTCCTTGTTCAAGCTGCTGCCCCCGCAAGCCGACTTTGGATCAAGCGGGAGATAATAATGGATGGATGGATGGATGGATGGATGGATGGATGGATGGATGGATG